TAACCCACCCCAAAATCTAATCCCAGCCCACCGCCCAGACCAAACTAATGAAAAACATGCGCACCTAGAAGAAAGAAACGGAAAGATCGATTATTCGTAAATGATTGTCCTTATGCCTATTATGTTCATTGCTTAGCACATCAGTTGCAATTAGCATTGGTTGCTGCTTCTAGAGAGGTGAAATATGTGCACAATTTTTTCATCGATTCAGTCTTTATTATTAATGTGACTAATTCTTCTTGCAAACGAAGTGATGAATTAAAGAAAGCTCAAGCACTTGAAATTGCAAGAATGTTGGAAATTGGTGAGCTTGAAACAAGCAGAGGACTTAATTAGGTTGGTACATTACAACAAGCTGGGGAAACTCGTTGGAGCTCACATTTCAGTTCTGTTTGCAGTTTGATTAGGATGTTTGCCGCAACTTGTTCTGTTTTAGAAAATGTTGAAGAGAATGGCAATAACTATTCTACTCGTGGAAATGCAGCTAGAGAACTTAAGAAGATTAAATCTTTTAATTTTGTTTTCTTGTTGCATCTTATTAAAGAAATTATGGGCATTACAGATCTTTTATGTCAGCATATACAGAAGAAGTGCCAAGACATAGTAAATGCTATGCATTTGGTGTCAAGCAACAAAATGTTGATCCAAAAGTTAAGGGAGGGTGGATGGGATAACTTCTTAGAAATTGTTAAAGAGTTTTGCACATAGCATGAAATTGAAGTTCCTAATATAAAGTCTCCTTATGCGGTAAAACGCAAACGCCATGATCAAGAAGGGTTTGATATTGAACGTCACTATCGGGTTGATATGTTTTACGCAACCATAGATTCATCATTGTTGGAGCTGAATAGCAAATTCGGTGAACAGATAATGGATCTTCTTACTCTTAGTGGTGCTTTGGATCCTAAGGACTCATATAAGTCTTTTAACATTGATGATATCTGTTCTTTAGTGGATAAATATTACCCCTTGGATTTTATTGAGCAGGAGAAGGTGAGCTTGAGGTTTCAATTGCAACATTATAAGCTCAATAATCTAAACCATCCAAAGTTGGCGAATTTTTCTACAATGGGTGAACTTTGTCAAAGATTAGCGGAGACGGAGATGTCAAAAGTGTACTTTCTTAGCTTGTTGATAAATTGATCCGACTTTTGTTGACTCTACCGGTTCGACAGCAACAACCGAAAGGACTTTTTCCGCAATGAAAATTATAAAAACAAGGCTTTGCAATAAAATGGAGGATGAGTATGTTGCAGACAACCTTATTGTTTATATTGAAAGAGAAATTGCTAAAACTTTTGACTAAAAAGCCGTGATTGAGGAATTTATCTCGTTGAAGAAGCGTTGGGTACAATTCTAAGGTACTAACTTTAACTATTTTGTAATAATATATTTGTCTCTTCTTCTATTATAATGCTTCATTTAACTACTACTCCGTATTATATTAAGGTTATAACTTATAATAATAATAATCGCCTAGATTTTTTTTGTTTAAATTATCGCCCCCCCCCCCCCCCCAATATCAATTTCCTGGGTCCGCCCCTTACTCTTTGTCCGAATATTAGTGGAATGGGGGTAGTTAGGGGTGGACTGAACCGGGCCGGTTCGGGCCTCGGGCCTAGGCCCGGCCGGGCCTCGGTTCAGTAATAGCAGGCCCGAGCCCGAACCGGGGTAGGGCGGTCCCGGGTCCGGTTCCGGGCCGGACCGGGCCGGGCCGGTCGGGCCACCCGGTTTAATTTTTTTTTTTTTTCCTTTCTTCCCCCACCCCCCACCCCCCCCCCCCAAACCCCCCCAAACCGGCCTAAACAGCTAGCCCAAGCCCAACAGCCCAAAAAAAAATGAAAAAAAAAATTAAAAAAAAAATAGATTTGGCCCGGACACGGGCCCGAACCGGCCGGGCCGGGCCGTCAAAACCATGAACCGAGCCCGGAACCGCCCCACCCCCGGGCCTCCGGCCCGAACCGGACCCGGACCCGGAAAACCGGGCCCGCACAGTAGCGGGTCGGGCCGGTCCCGGGCCGGGCGGCCCGAACCGAGGCCATGCCTAGGGGTAGTATATTATAAAGGGTGGTTTGGAGTTCTATAAAGATTGACCAATTCGGATTTCAAATTATGCCAGTGTCAAGAATATTGATCGCCACACCCGTAAAAATATCACAGCCTAATATATTTCCATTAATTTCATTTTTGTATTGAAACCACTACATTTAAATATATATTTTCCAATAATAAATGAAGTGAGAATTAGAGTTGCGTCCGTAAACCGAATACCGAATCGAAATAAAAAGAATCACAATTGAATTAAACCGAAACGCGAAAAAAACAAAATCAAATGTAAAAACATCATAGTTCTTTGGTTCAATTTTGGTTTTTAACCTACAAAATTGAACCGATTAAACTGAACTAATCAAAATACAAAAAATTTATTTGTTAATTGTTAAGCAATACTCCTATTATCATCGATAGTCATTAATTTTCTTGTGTTAGCAAATTAATTTGTCTCAGATTTAGCTTAGTTTATAAATGTATTTACGTATTCATTGCCTATAATAAGTAGCCATATTGATCTATTATGTCTCAGGTGACATGTAGTTAGCAGTTACTCCCTTTGTAACATTCATATTTTCTCACTTTTCTTTTATGGACGTAACTTTTATATCTTCCCATTTCTAAATCTTCTCATCATACCCTCAATAATTTTAAAAATAATATACTATTACACCTACTTTTTTTTGGATTTATCCTTCATTCCATCACATTATTTCACTATGTTCCCATCATACCCTCAATAATTCATATCCTCTTTCACTATTCTTAATCTCACCCACTTTGGAAGTGGGAAGATATATGTGATACGGAGGGAGTATTAGTGGTAACTTTTATTTTCATGTAACTTAAAATTTTTATATTGATATAACAAATAGATATTCATTTAAACTATATCCATAAACTTTTTTCAAACTAGTCACACAAAGTGTAAATTAAAATATACCACCTCCATCCTGAAAAGAAGTTACCACTTTCCTTTTATGAGTGTTCCAAAAACAAGTTCTCATTTCTATGAAAGAAACCACTTTTAAGCAAAAAAAGTCACAATTACCCTTATTTTTGTATGTACTTTTTGCTTGACTTGACATAAAGTAAGAATATGATTGGAAAGTCAAAATAAAACTCCATCCTACATATATGTGTATGTAGGTCAAACCAAGAAATTCATTTTGGGACGAAGGGAGCATACACTTTTTTCACAAAAAGGAGTATACACTTTTTCCAAAAAAAAATTAGAAAATTGTATTATCTCTCCCGCTGTCCCGCATATTCATATAATTCAAAAGTCAAAACATATTCATTTCTTCTCTTTTTTATTTTATTTGCTCTAGTATAATTGCATTTTTTATGTAATATGTTTGACCCCCTAACCATCATATCATTCTAAATCAAATGACAATTTTTTAGAAAAAAATCAAAAAATATGAATCAATCAAACCATAGTTTCAAGTTTTTAAATGTAAAACCGAATAAAAACCTAACGGAAAAAATTGAACCCACCTTCTGGTGAGAACTGAGAATATCAAAACTAAAATCTCTTTCCACTTGAAATTGTTTCCCAGCATTAGGTCTGGGAGTCTGGGACCGGTTCGGTTCTTGTTAAATTTCAATGAAACCGTATTAAAAATTATAGTCTTTAAATTCGGTTCGGTTCTAGTTAAAAATGTAGTTGTTAAATTCGGTTCGGACCTGGTTAAATTCGGTTCGGTTCGGACCTGGTTAAATTCGGTTCGGTTCTTACCTTTTTTCGGTTCTTTATAAAAATTTATTATACTCCTAAAATAAACACATTTAACCTTTAGTTACATAAAAAATCAAATTTCAAATCATGAAATTATGACCATTACATTATACATATGATATTCTAATGTTCAATTATCACAAAAATATCCACGTGCAAACATTAAATTTAAACATAACAAAAATATAAAGATTTAAAATAGACATCAATTGTCAAGCACAAAGGTTTAATAGCTCCTAGGTACATATTCAATAGTAGGTAGTTCAAACCCCAAAATAATATTCTTCTACTAGTCATGCACCATGAGTAAAAAGTGTGTAATAATAAACTGACCGGTAATATTAGTAATTTACTATGAACAATTAACAACATAATCAACTGAATATTAATTCCTTTTTAGTTGAACTCAAATAACAAATACAATTACATATAAATATAAAAATGAACTAAAGTAGTAAAATAACAACTACTCGGATTTGCCTAGTCCACAATATATAAGGTAAATTATGCAAGACAAATATTCATGACAATAATTTTTTGCCCGGAACACCGTCTGGCCACCTCCATTTGAGTAAAAGTTTTTGATGAGATTTTGTGAGCATGTTCTAAATGAAGTGTAGATCATATCCACCAAATTTCAGCTTAAAATTAAATCGGGAAGTGAGTTAATTAAAAATATTGAAAAACATTGCATTTTTTATACTATGTAAATATTTTGACACTGTTTTTCAAATAATTTATTTAATTGACTTCTTGATTGAATTTTAATCACAAATTTGATGGAAAACAAACTATGCAGCGTATAAGAAGTTCGGTTCTTGTCTAGGAACCGGAACCGAACCGGAACCGAACCGATCAAGTGGTATAGGAACCGAACCGAAAAAAGCTCAAGTCCAAAATTATAGGAACCGAACCGGAAAATTTGGTTCGGTTCGGATCGGTTTTCCCGGTTTTACGGTTCCAAGTCCCAGGCCTACCCAGCATGCCTATGAATTGATGTTCCACAAACAATTCTCACGCGGGGAGAATTGCCATCTGCCAAAAGTAAAATATGTAACCATGGGAAAACGTTCTCCAATTCTATTTCGCATGGAAAATAAACAAAGTTTCACAGACAAACTTTATCTAAGAGAATATAAGACTAGAACAAGAACTATTAACAAAAAGAAAATAAAATATAAATAAATAATTGACTAACCACAGTTTATCACTTTTACAGTATAGAGTAGAAGTTTACAGAGGTTTTCAATGGCATTTCTTTATACAAACAAAAAAAATATAGCGGCCAACCTCAATTAGAAGCCACCAGCATTTGGGATTCAGACTCACTTGAAGTTGAGATTGAGGATGAGGAATTTAGGAGGCTCTACTACTGCGCAAACCTTGGCAAATCAGATATATCTCTCTTGAAGATGACCTTGTTGCTTTTGGCCTCAGCCATGATGTCTTTCTAAAGAGAGGTTTGCATATCTCACAAATTTCTATGCAGCAAAAAAACACTGAGTCATTTAGTTATGGAAGAGTATGTAAAACAACTGCTTTTGGTCCAAAACCTTTAGGGTTATTCATACTTTTTAGTCCCGGCTTATTTGTTTCATTTTGGAATAGTAGAGACGTAGAGTAGATCCACAGGACAAGCGATCGAAAAGGAACAAAACTGGCAAATACACCCACCAGTCATGTCGTTAAAATAAAAAAAATGGGGTTAGAAAAAGAGAATAACCTGATTTTTCCAAAAAATGAATAATTTGATACTTGGGACTGAAAGTGAAAACTGAAAAGTGATTACCCTTTGTGTCTTCACTTTCCAAGAGCTTTATGACAAGATGACCTCCAAGTTGTAATATACCATTATCCCCGATGTCATTCAATTCACCGTCCACTTGAGGATTCGTGCATGGGGAAGAAAAGGCGTCTCCTCCAACAGCCAGATCAAGTGCACGGTGTCCCAGTTCGGCAGATAGAACTGAATCTCTCGTTGTTATTCCAGAAACTAGTGGACACATGTCAGAAAGTATGACAGAGAACCCCTTTTTCTGCAGAATAGAGATCTATAAAATTAAGCAACTGATCAAAAAGTTTCAATATCAACTAACCTGTACTCTCAAGCATTGTTGTAAAAATCCTTTTCTAGCAGCTTGGGACCTACTTCCACGTAGACTCTGCATCTCAGCCTAACTCTTCTTACTTAATAACTAGGCGCTAGTGCCTACTTTGCCAACAACTATTCACTTCAGTAAAAACAATATGGATTTGTAATGCGAATTTGAACATTACAAACAAGACTCCTTTTTCGAATGGGTGTAGTGCATCAGTTTTAGTAGGGGTGGGCATTTCAAATAGGTTTGGCTAATCTAACCAAGCTAAATCAAACCAAACAAACCTGAACCATATGTGTTTCAGGTTTGCTACTTTACATTGATCACGTCTTCCCCAAACCATATTACTTAGAAGTCAGAACCAAAGCAAAATGAGCTGGCCCAAACAAAAAAAAAACAATATGACCCCAATAAAAATCCAGAGCAACAAAAAAACAAATCGAACCAAATGCACCAAAACAAAACAAATTGATCCAAAGTGCAGTTTTAAATCGGTGATAATTATTTCAAGCCGTTTTAGACGAAACCAAACGATTGCACATGAAAATGTCCCTCCCACATGAAATATTGCATTGGTAACTCTGGAGCAAAAACTTAGGCCAATTGTATACCCTGTTGAGGTAGGCCTATGGTTAATTATCAGGAAGAATTACCTCCTATTACAGGAGGGGTTGAAGTAGGGCTGTAGGGGGTAATAAAAAGGAATAATTACAGTGTGAGAAACTGTGTTTTGAAGTTTCATTATCATTACAGCTATCTTAGCCAATGTATGTTCCAGATCGCTCACTGGGAATTTGGAAGCACAGCAGATCCAAAAGGTGCAAAAGAAAGCAGAAATGAAAAACAAAAATAAGTACTCCGGTTTGAACTGCACCGATACACAACCTAAAAACAGTGCTAACCACAAAAACACATGGAAATTTGTTTCAATGAGTACCTGAGGAGAAAGATCCTTAATTTTTTCCCTTGGTAATTCCATAACATTGCCACAAACGGTTTGAACCCTTGAATCACAGTGCATTGCTGGAACCTTCACCTTCTGCTCTGCATAATATCACCATTTTCCATATGAACCTTAAGTTCTAGCTCATTCCACAAAAAATCAGATACCATATGACTTCACTATAATTGTAACAGATTTGATATAACTAAACCCCTAACTATCCAAATAGAAAAGACAAACCTTTGTATCGATCCCAACAATAGCGCCACTACATTTCAATGGACCCAAACTCTGGCATGCCACCTGCAGAGAGAAAAAAGTTCAATTGATACAGAAGTAAATGTGTTCCAATTGACCCTATAATGGACGATTAGGAACTTTCAAGGCTGAAAATATTAGCATCAGATATTGACACAGACACACACCTGAAGCCAAGCACCAGGAGCACATCCTAGATCAAGAACGGAGGAACCAGGGGTTATGAGTTTGAACTGCTTCTGCATCTGCAGCAACTGCTCTTCGACCCAAAAACCGATATTGTATTAGAACAAAACCTCAAGAAAATGTATAACGAGTATTAAAGAAAATTGGTATAAGCGACCTTGAAGGCAGAGCGGGCAACATAGCCCAGACGCTGAGCTTCTCTGTAGAACAAATCCGGCGTACCTGCTCCTCCACCCATTGTCCTCTGTACGTTTGTGGTGAGCAAAGAAATCCAGAGAGGATAGCATAGTTTTGAATTAGGGTTAAACTCAGGTAAATTATACCGTACACCCGGTTGTACGGTTCTCACCGTACAACCGGGTATTTTTGCAATTAATTACAACTTAAAGCCTAATAGTCATGTTGCTTCTGCTCTGCTTTTTCTTCTTTTTTCTGCCGGCTCCGTTTTCCTTCTGTTTTGCTTCTTCTCTGTTTTTCAACCGGCACTGTAGCGTTGCTTTACACGCGTACATCTGTTGGCTCCGTCTTTTTAATTCCTTTGCTTTACGTTGTTGTTGTTGTTCTCCTTTGTATTATTTCTTTTTATTCAACAACTTTTTTCACTTTAAAAAAACACCAACTTTTTGCTTTATTTTTTTCAATTATTATCAAAATGTATAAATAAAATATTATTTAATGTTGGAGTTTGTTTTTGCTTTTTTCAATAAAACTCATAACTTTTTTAATTGTACATTATTAAATATTTTAGGTATTAATTTTATTTTTATATTTCAAATTTTAAGATTAATATTTATTAGTTTATTAAATATTGTGTGTATTATACTAAAATGAGTTTATTACCAACATGAGTTTTGTATTATACTCAAATGAGTACAGTGCAAAATAAATGTGCATGAGTAAACATTATAAAAACAACGCAATTATATTTGCATTTTTTAAAATAAACCTAAAATTTGTTTTTAGTATAGCATTTTTTAGATTTTTCATTGTTATATATAATGATAGTTTATTAAATTGTTAATAACGAATTTACTAGATGTACATGTTATACAAAAGAGTTGATGTTATATTCGAATGAGTATAACTATTAAAAGAAATGAGCATTCACAAATGAATATTTGAACACATTAGAGAATTCAATTGAGCTTTTGAACATTTTAATGTTCATTTTTATGTTACGTATGCTTATCTGATATTGATTTTTATTCTTATTTTAAAATCTCATATCAATGCATATTTCAAAACTACCATATTACATTAGATTCCCATGAGAATTGATTAGAGACAAGAGAGTAGAGATCACGATACTCAATTCTATGCTTATAATACTCAATAAACGACGTTTGATATACAATGAAAATGCTTTGATGCTCAACTAACAAAGCTTATAATTTTCATATCATTGCCCATTTGGTAAATAATGTATAATCATTTAATACTGGTGTTATGCTATTTTAAAATTTTAAAATGTTATATCAGTACATATTTCAAAATCAGCATATCACGTTTGATTCACGTAGGAGTTGATTATAGATACTGGAGCACAAACCATGCATGATACTCAATTGTATATTTATAATACTCAATAAAAGAGATTTGATACTCAATGAAAATGTACGTCTTGATTCTCAACGAAAAAAACCTTATGATTTTTATATCATTGCTCATTTTGTAAGTTACGTCTGCTCAACTAGTACTCATGTTATGCTCATTTTAAAAATGTCATATCAATGCATATTTCAAGAGTACAATATTACATTAGATTCACATATTGAAATTCATAAGAGTTGATTATAGATATAATTTAATAATTTTTTATAAAAGAAAAAATAACAAAAAGAAAGTGAATTAGAAATTATGAAGCAGAGATCACGATTTCTAATATTAGACTCCTAATACTCAACATAATTGTTCTGATGTTCATTAAAAGTTCATTAATGCTCATTCACCAGAAACCATGATTTTCATCTCAATAACGAAGGTTTGATGCTCAGTTAAAATGTTGTGATGTTTAACTAACAAACCTTATGATTTTCATATCAAAGTACCATATTACATTCGATTCACATATTGAAATTCATAGGAATTGATTATAGATAAAATTTAATGAGTTTTTATAAAAGAAAAAATAAGATAACGGAAAGTGAATTACAATATATGAAATTGATATCACATTACTCATTATTCGACTCTTAATGCTCAATAGAATACATCTGATGCTCATTAACAGTGTGATATCAGTTTTTTTGTACTAACATGATGCTCACATTTTAATACTCATCTATCGAAAAACACAATTTTCACCGATATTACAAAAATGCCACCGTTTTTTAGTTATGATATCAGTTTTCTTGTACTAACATGATGCTCATTATCGGACGCTTAATACTCATTATAATTGGACTATTGCTCATTAAACGTACACTAATGCTCATTTAGCTGAAGTCGTGATTTTTTGCTTAAATTACAAAAATGCCACCGAAAATAAAATGGTCTATATTAGTTAATGGGCTGTCTTCTTCAACTGGGCTGGATGTACCTACATCCGGGTGTAGGATATAGGTACTCGTTAAACTCATACGTAGGGTCTGTTTGCAAAAGTTTTTAATGAAATGGAGAGAAGTGATTAAATAAAAGTTGATAGTGTTAGAGAAAAAAGTTATTTTGAAAAGTAAAAGTGGGTAGTGTTTGGTAAAATAAGTGTTTTTTGTGTAATAGAAAAAGTAAAAGCATTTTTGACGCGGAAGCCGAGAAAAATAACAGTTGTGGTGTTTGGGAAAATAAGTGCTTTTTTAAAGCCAAAAGCGGAGAAGTACTTTTTTAAAAGGAGTTGCAAACCAACCCGTAGTAATATGAAAAGGATCATTTCTTAAAAATAAAAATAAAGGGAAAATAGAAACTAATAAGGGAAAATGGAAATAAATAGTCCAACTTTATTTGGTCTCATAAAACGATCCCTTTTATTGATAATTGATGAAAAATTCGACCTTTGACTACTGTCTTCCGTTTTTGGTCCCTTGGTGGCATTTACCGGTTGTGGAATGTTTTTATGTGTATAATGATCGGTTAACTGAGTTTGTAAATATATACAGAGTAAGAAATTATTCTGCGCAACGTCCTCCGTCTTTCTTTCTCCTCCATACTTCGTATTTCACACAGTTCATCACACCACTTTCTCAGTCTTTCTTCCTCCATCTTTCTTCCTCCTTTCTATTTTCTTTCTTCACTTCTTCCTCCTTCCTTGTTTTTCTTATTTGGATTTGTCCGCATACATTCTAATTATATCTTTGAGGCCGATAAAAACATGAATTCAAAAGATTATGGGTCCTCTTCGACGAAATCTGACAAAGAGGCGAATTCAAGCATGAATTTTCATCCCACAACAACAATTCGCTTCAGAGAGTAGTTGAAATGGGATAAATGTCGGGCAGAAGTTTTGGGGCTGCTCTTTATGGCATGTAAGTGTTATTTATTTATCTTCATTGATGTTATTACATACAATGTTAAATTAGGGTTTATATATTGAATGTGAGTTCGGTAGTATTTGATTAATCTGGATTTGACTATACTTTGAGTACAAATACTAAATAGGAGGAATTGAAGTTTTGTTTGTGCTTCAGGATAAAAACTTTGATTCATCAAGTGGGAAGATGGTGTTGATGGTGATTATTGTTGACACACATTCATTACCTCAGATTCAAGAGGCCAGCATACATGAAAAAGGGACTCACAATTGACCTACAAGCTCAAAAGATGATGTTGAAAGAAAAGATTAAGAAGTTGCTTTTCAAAAATCAAAAACTGAAAGAGGGATTACAGCACATGAAAAAGAACTTAATGAACTATGTTATACTACGTAAAAATCTAAGTGTTCAAGGGATGAGAAGAAATGTTCACTTGAAATAAGTATTATTTCAATAGTAGGTTGGTTAGCCATGAATTTGGCTTTGTATTTCCTGAAATTATACCATAGTTGAATAAAACTGTTTAATCCAGTCTTTTGTTGCCTAGTCAAATAGCCAATGTTGGTAGTTGAGGTGTCATAACTATAATGCCGCACATATAGCCAAGCTGGAAAAACGTATAACCTCATGTGTAGCAATACTTGAACTGCAAGAATCTTGATGAATTATAATATAAGTGGAATGAAAACTCCCTAACTTGACAATTACTGTATTGAAAAAGAAATTAAAACTCCTTAAGTGTAAGTCTAATAATGCAGAACTATTAAATCATTTAGGAGGTTCTAAGTAGAAGATTATATGCCCCTCCCCTTTAATGCTATGCTGACAATGGCTTGGTCCACTAAGTACTTATACACAGAAAAATGTATAACCTCAAGAGCAGCAATACTACTAAGTACTAATGTTTACTAATAAATAGAAAATGGATAAGTGTCAAATAGGTCCTCAAACTTTCATAAAAAGGTCAATTAAGTCCTTCTATAGGAGGTTCTCTCCGGCCGTCGCAATTTGGGGCAGTTCCCGGTGGAATTTTTTGATGAATTTTTTTGAGCATCTTATTCACCAAGTCTAGTTTACTCATACCAAATTTCAGCTAAAAATTCAATCGGGAACACATTGAAATTAATTCTTGAAAATAACTGCGCATTTTTGCGTTCTCAAATTAATTTGAATACACTCCCGATTAAATTTTTAGCTGAAATTTGGTATGAGTAAACTAGACTTGATGAATAAGATGCTAAAAAAATTTCATCAAAAAATTCCACCGGGAACCGCCCCAAATCGCGACGACCGGACAAAGTCTCCTATAGAAGGACTTAATTGACTTTTTTATGAAAGTTCGAGGACCTATTTGATAGTTTTCCCAATAGAAAATTGTTTTGTATGGCATTCCTGTGATCCCCAGGAGAAAAACCTATTATAGAACGTCCACATAATTAAGTATAAATAAGTATAAATGATGCATCATCATAACCCTTGGAACACACTCATTGCTCTCAAAAAATACGATATAATAAACATTTGTCCATCAGAAAAGGGAATTCAAGAAACAATTATTCATCCCACAAACATATTATACTGCACATTATGAGCTACATACTCTCTGCTTTCTCCACCTTCTGGAGAATATTTGTACAGGTGAAGAGAAACATCAAAGGTAACTGGTGCACATCACTTTTATAGAATGTAATAATTATCCAAACTACAATGTCAGGCCATTCAAAACTATGAGTGAATCACAAGAATACAACTACACTTCATTCAACTACATTACATTCAAAAATACAAATACACTTCATGATAGACAGTCAAATCATAAGTACATTTCATTCTAAAATACATGGTCCGTTTAAAGAAGACCCAGTAAAGGTTGGATTATTTGTTTCCAATTTCCCAACTAATAATCCAACCTTTTAGCGGTTTTCTTACAATAGTCTCACCTTTTCGTTACTCATTAATAATCCAACCTTCACATCATCTTCATTCACTGGTCCCTAACCGGTTGATGTCCTGTTATTCCAAGTTATTTTCTTATCTTTGCAAACCATTATACAATAAATCTCATCTTTCACAAAGACTTGCAAATCATGGACCCTCAATTACCCATCTCAATAGATGGAAAACAAACCTTGAAGCAATTTCAGAATGCTCTTCACCATCTTCGCATGGATCGAGCCCTACCCTTTCAATTTTGGAGAACGATGGTGTGCTCACACAATCCAAGTGTGAGCCGGTTATAGACGACGATGATGATGATGATCAATCTGAGCGTCATGAGGGTTGGACGTCTACTGAAACAAATCCAGGATGGCTGGTCGTGAAGAAGGCGAGAAGGTGAACTCCTGTGATGTCCATCCACTTTGATGTCTACTTAATTTCCAGATCCACTTGTGCATGTCTTCCAAGACACTCCAAAGGGAAAAATCCTCTTCCTTGGCTCTATCTTTTGGTTATTTTTTTGTGTTATGTGTTCCGATTTGAACATGTTATTGAATATGTATGTACTAGTGTTGGATTTCAATTTGTGATTGATATAATCCGTATGTGTGTACCAGTGTTGGATTTGAAGTAGCCTTTGGAATATGTGTGTTGTAATTTTGGATTTTAAATTGTGATTGGAATATGGTATGTGTCATTTTTACCAAATTGGACTGCCAACTTCTAATCCACTCATTCATTTATACCAAACATGTCTTATAAGCTGTGTTGGATATGCTTAAACATTAAAGGGTACACCTTTTATGATTTGAACATGGCATTTTTACCAAATTGGACTGCAAACTTCTAATCCACTCATTCATTTATACCAAACATGTCTTATAAGCTGTGTTGCATATGCTTAAACATTAAAGTGTACACCTTTTATGATTTGAACATGTCATTTTTAACAAATTGGACTGCCAACTTCTAATCCACTCATTCATTTATACCAAACTTGTCTTATAAGCGGTGTTGGATATGCTTAACATTAAAGTGTACACCTTTTATGATTTGAACGTGTCATTTTTACCAAATTGGACTGCCAACTTCTAATCCACTCATTCATTTATACCAAACTTGTCTTAGAAGCTGTGTTGGATATGCTTAAACATTAAAGTGTACACCTTTTATGATTTGAACATGTCATTTTTACCAAATTGGACTGCCAACTTCTAATCCACTCATTCATTTATACCAATCATGTCTTATAAGTTGTGTTGGATATGCTTAAACATAAAAGTGTACACCTTTTATGATTTGAACATGTCATTTTTACCAAATTGGACTACCAACTTCTAATCCACTCATTCATTTATACCAAACATGTCTTATAAGCTATGTTGGATATGCTTAAACATAAAAGTGTACACCTTTTATGATTTGAACATGTCATTTTTACCAAATTGTACTGCCAACTTCTAACCTACTTATTCATTTATACCAAACTTGTCTTATAAGTTGTGTTGGATACGCTTAACATTAAAGTGTACACCGTTTATGATTTGAACATGTCATTAATTTTTACCAAATTGGACTGCCAACTTCTAATCCACTCATTCATTTATACCAAACTTGTCTTAGTTGTGAGGGTAAGAAGAAGAGAGCCCCGCCACAGAAACCAGTGGCAACCCGGCCTAATGATGATCAGTCTGCTAACTCTTCCGAGAGGACCCAGACTGCTGAGGGCCACCCTACCAATGCTGAGGACACTGCCGATGAACCATCAAGCCAGGCCCCTTCTAATAAGGCTAGTGGTGAGGCCTCCGATAGCATGGCCAAAGGGAATGAACGAAGAGATGATGATGATGATGATGATGCAGATGATGATGATGACATGGAGGGAGTCCTGATCAGCAACAGGAAGAGAGCTGGTAAACAGGCCATTCCGATAGACTCCGACTCCTCATCAGAAGATATTGAGGCTGCACTCACACCCCGACCACTCAAAGGGATCATCATTAGTGAGCAGCGCTCCAAGAAACGCAATGAAAAGCCTGCATCATCACAGCCTAAGAAGAGGCTCAGAAAGAAGAGTGCAGTGGAAGAGGAGCTGGCACTGTACGATGACTGTGACACCTTCGTCACTATAGACCGAACCACGCCCCTAGGAGCAGGAGCTGACCTTGTCAGTTCCCGGGTAGAAGTCGCAGCATCCGGTTCAACTGCGCATGCACAGCCATCTCCCATCCACTCTCCAGTCTCCCAACAGACTGGGGTTTCAATAACTCAAGGGGAACTTACACCGACCTCACTGATTCCTTCTGAATCTGCTGAGAGACTTAGTGGTCAACAGCCCCGGACCACTACCCCCATCCGTTCTATCACATCGAGTCTAGGTGTCACCATTCCTACATTTTCACATTTTTCTAGGACACCTACACTATTCACTGCACATACAGGTGCACTCACCCTGAATGCAACGACCGGAGTGCAAACTATGATGGTCGGAAGCCCTGCTACGCCAACAATGCCTCGATCATTGAACGCAGGCCACACATCAGCTATCTTCACTGATGCTGTGACAACAGTTACAACCCCTGTAACTGGTACAATTATCCCCGAAGACATTCTCGTATATCTGAATAGCTTTCTAGAGTCTACCATTAAGCCATGGGTGCATGAAGCAATAACCGCTAATGCACAAGACTCTGGAAGTACCCCAGTTGTTCAGGATATACCACCCAAACCTCAAACAACACAGCCCCCAACCATTTCCATTCCTATTTCCAAACCTTTAGCCATAGAAAACCAACAACCATCCACATCAAGGGGAACCCAGGATACAGAACTAGTATTCTCCCCTACAACGACCAAACCCAACCTAACAACCGTACCCTTCGAGGATCTTGTAGCTGAGATCTACGACCGTATACTAGACGTGGAAGAAGGCAACCTCACCCCTCTTCAAAAAGCCCTTCTCCATGCTCTAGATACACAGAACACATGCCGTGACAGTCTCCGTGGCGCTAAACGTTCACATGAGGATCCTGATGATTCGGATTCTCATGAGGGGGAGAACAAGCGCCCGCGGATACTTGAGCATGTTGCTTCTACTAGCCAACCCTCAAAGCCAAACCAACCCTCCACCTCTACCAATGAGCAACCCACTACTTCAGCCAGCCATAAATCCCTAGCCATTCTCTCTAGCATGGTCGAGCTAGACATAACATCCCGAGGTGCATCTCCTATAAATGTTAACCAAGGACGGAATGGAAGTCCTGATGATGCTACCATGAGTACATCTTCTTACTCAGGCCATCAGCTAGAACCTAGTTCGAAGCTGATGTCAACGGGCAATCCTGAGGATCCCGGTGTTTCACACGACGAGTCACCTTCGACACAGCAGCAAGCTCCCTCTGAACCCTCTGACAATCCAATACAAGATGAGCTTGAAGATCTTCTAGTTCATGATCAATGGCCTCCTAAATGGACAGAGTGGGATGACCTTAGAGTGGAAGCCGATCAGTACGAAATGTGTCGAAGCTGGCATCTCAGAGAGTTCCTCAATAAATACCATGCAATGATGATTGGACTCGATAAAGACAAACTCAAGGAAGGGGAGAATCAAAAAGAAAACCTCAAGGAACCAGAACCAGCTAAAGAAAAATGGGAAATCATAAGGATCAAAGCCCCCTTTCTTGAAGAAATTCGAGAGAAGATCTGGAGACAACCAGAAAAAGTCAAGCAGTTCAGTGAATTAAAAATGCGAGGAATCAATCACTTGAAAGGAAAATATAGAGGAGGAAATCTGTATATGCTAGGACATAGATCCACAGGGCAACGTCGACAAGTTCTAAATCACAACCTTGCAACAAGTGGATGTCCCATATTGAAAATCTTGGAGATTACAGAAGATCACCTGGAGACAATTAAGTTCATGATTTTTCGTCTACAACGTACTGATGGCTCGGAGTTCACCTGTCAAGAGAATGACTTCTTTCTACTGCACATGGATGACATTTATCAAATGTTCATGAGGTGCAGGGAGCTTCCAGTTCACAAAGACAGACTCGCTAAAGAAGGCTTCGAGGCGATAAAAAGATTCATGACAAGACAAGTTCGGTTCTACGCCTCTCATGACCTCCAGATGACCATAGAGCACAACTATTCAAAGGTGAATCTTACTAGACCGGACTTGAGTAGACCTGGCCTTGAATCCTTTGAAGCATATCATATCTTTGACAATCCAGTATCAGTCATCTATCTGAATCATAACAACGAAAAACGTCTAATGTTCGTGGATGAAATTAACAAGTATTGTGACGGAACGTTGAAGATCATCCAGGAGCAGCTCCGATCAAAGAAACAAGAACTTGGACAGAAATCGACTGAAGCCACTGAAGGAGACCAGAAGGAACTGCACAGAATTAACAATATTCTACAAGCCATTGAAAAGCAACTTGATAGAAGAAACTCACTCAGAAACTATGAGCACGCGCTTAATCTCAGAAAGAACTATTACAAAGCTCAGAAGTGAAGAAACCCAGCAAGACGGCACTTGACCACAAAGGGGGAGATTGTTAGAACTTTTATTGTGGGTCAAGTTTGTCTGTAATGTCTTGTTTAAATAAAGTAGACTAGTTATACCATTTATGGTATTAGATTAGTATTTATTATGTAGCAAATAAGGTAAAGGGAATAAGGCCCAAAAAGGCCTTGGCCCAACTTCCAAGGTTTACCTAAATCGGTAACTTGTACAGCGCTTATAAATACGCGCCTTGTGTACAGGTACCGATATCGATTAATACACTCTAGCCTTACGCTGCTAAAATTCTTCTCGATATAATAGAAACACGATCTCCAAAGTTCTCGATACTTCATAAATCATTCTGTGAGATCGTTCTTATCTGTTATTCGATGATATCCATCTAGCTATGTGTTAGTCTGCATAATCTGGGACCAACACAATTCCACCGGGAAGATGTCCAAATGGGCTCGGCCGGCCGGAGCATCCCGTCAGGCCGGCCTGATGAGAAGAGCACTATATATATATATATATATATATATATATATATATATATATATATATATATATATATATATATATATATATATATATAGTGGCTCGAGACGCGTCAGACGCTGTCCTAAGGAATTATTTCCGGCGTACGGAAATTTCCCCCGAGATATAATGAGCCCTTCGGTTATAAAACCGGTACCAGAACTAACGAGAAGAAATTAATATATGAACCCAGCAAAAATTATTTTGTTAATAACTCATATATATATAATATGATATGTTATACTCCGTATATATATAGTCCCGTTCTTGTCCAGCCGGCCTGACGGGATGCTCCGTCCGGCCGAGGGCATTTCGGGCACTTCCCGGTGGAATTTTTGATGAAATTTTTTGAGCATGTTCTTCATGAAGTCTAGTTTATCCATACCAAAGTTTAGCAAAAAATTCAATCGGGAAGGCACTCAAATAATTTCTTGAAGTTAACTGGGCAGTTTATATGTATGAACTGCCCAGTTAACTTCAAGAAATTATTTGAGTGCCTTCCCGATTGAATTTTTAGTTGAAATTTGATAAAGATAAACTAGACTTCATGAAGAACATGCTCAACAAATTTCATCAAAAAATTCCACCGGGAAGTGCCCGAAATGCCCTCAGCCGGACGGCGGTTCCCGTCAGGCCGGCTGGACATGAAGTTTC